AGGAGAAAACCAGCAATCTCCTCCCATGCAATTTACTGCCACTGGGAACCTGCTGGAGGGTCAGCTATGGGTCAGTTCAAACACCACAGCGCGTAACAGCCTTTCACACGGCTGTACTCACAGGTGCAGAAGTTAGGACTTTAGTGCATTTTCTGAGGCTCAGTGATTGAACCTGGATCACTTCCTGAAAGCATCCTATCTCTCCTTTGTTTACACTTTTGCCTGCTCTGGGACAGTCCAGTTTCTCTGGAGTACTTGCTAGGCCATGTTTAGTGTGTAAACTATCCTCTTCATACATGTAGCCTCAACATTCTAAAATCCAGATTAACCTTCATCGAGGCACTGTGACTATATTGCAGGCATAAAGACAAAGTGGGTGCAGGGTTAAGTCCACTGGGGAAGTACAACCTGTAGATTCATTGCCTACAAGTCTCTTCTGACTCAAATGACAGGATACAACTGCCACACACAGTTGCCGAGCCTGTAATCTTCCTGAGAGCAGGCTGCCATGTCTTTCTCCCAGGTAAGCACTAGCTTCTCTATAAATTCCCAGGACTTTTCTACTCACTTAGATCTAACTTGGCGATACTTAAAAACAAACAGCAGATATATTTTCTTCCTCCTTTTGGTGGGACTGCCCTTGATTCTACTCCATATATTTCAACAAATTTCTGCCTCCCTGGCCAGAACTATGTCACACATACATCTCTCTCTTCCACAAAGGGAGTCTGAGAAGGTGAGAATCAGAGAAAACTCACTAGGGACAGCAGGAAAGGGCTCAAGTGTGTCAGAGGTGATGAGGAGGGCACAGGATAGGATAGAGTTCAGGGCTGTAGTTCACAGGGCCACTATGAGTCCTCCTCAACTTGACAGCACCTAACAAAAACACTATACATTTTGCCAAAGAACAGTATGAAAACCTCCCCCAACCTGAATGGTTTGAAAAAGAAATTGACAATTAATGGTTTAGAAAGTTGGGGAATTTAATGGAGCTCTGGTGACTACTTGCAAGTGTGTGGCACTGCTAATTAAAGGCATTGAGTCTCTTGTGGTTCCTCCTCAGGAGGAAGATGCACAGGCTTCTGTTTGGGTTTATAGCCTTGGAAGCTCAAAGGAAGGTTGCTATGAGTTGGAATTGACTTGATGGCAGCAATGAGCTGAGTTTTTATAAGACCCTTTACTGGTGTAGTATGTAGTATGTTGCACTGCTGACCAAAAGGCCATGCATTTCCAGCAATTTCGGACAGCTGATCTTTGACAAAGAGTCCATTAAGCAGGGAGAAGCGAGCCTCTTTAACAAATAGTGCTGGCAGGATAGGATATCCATTTGCAGAAAATGGAAACAAGATACAAGATCCATACTCCACACAATATTAAAAGAAAATCTAACTCAAGATGGGTCAAGGACCTTGCCATAAAACCTATAAAAGCTAATCACAGGAAGTATTGGGGCAAATTTATGAGTCCTAATCAATGGCATAAATAGACTATAACATATCACTGACAAGTGCACAATCAGCAGAGGAGAAACTGGATAATAAGGACCTCCTGGAAATGAAATCCTTCTGTATAACAAAATAGTCCTCTACAAGAGTGAAAAGGGAATCTAAAGACTGGGGGGGGGGGGAGTTGGCAACAACATATCACACAAGAGACGCATCTCCAAAATTTTTAGAAAACTCCAGCACCTCAAAACAAAAAATAAATCAATTACAAAGTGAGCAAAGGACATGAAAAGACATTTCACCAACGAATAGCCAACAGACATACGAAGAAATAAAGATCACTAGCTATGATGTGTGCCACGGAGTCGTAACCAACTCATAGTGACCCTCCAGAAGACTTTCAGAGACTGTAAATTACTCAGGAGGAGATTGCCAATGTGTCCCATGGACCAGCTGGTGCACTCAAACTTCATGCCTGTGGGTTGGCAGTACAATGCCTTATTACCAGGCTATCAGTTCTCCTTCACTAGCTATTAGAAAGATGCAAATCCAAGCACCTATGAAATATCGTCTCACCCCAGCAACAAGAACAAAGTTCAACAAGATAGCTAAAAGATGGAAACAACTCCAAGTGTCTATAGGCAAATGAATGGCTAAAGAAACTGGTACATTCACACAATTATGTAGCACCTAAAGACTGACACAGTAGCTGGGGTAATGAAGGTACGTGTGTCTGAGGCAGTGAGATTGGCTCAGGATAGAGCATGGTTCAGAGCTATTGTCACAGATGATTCGATGGCACATACCAACAATAACAAAGATGAAAGCCTCATAAAACACTTTACAACGTGGACGGGATAATAGTGAGCAATATAAATCACTCGTAGAAGGACTATAATATTATAAAATCACTGTTATAAAAAGCTCTGAAACGATTTACACATGAACTACAATAATTCTTGTATAGTTACCAGGGATGGAATGGAAAGGAAAAGGGACTGAAAATTAATGAACAGATAAATTGAGTGAAGGGAAATAAGGGTCTGATCCGACACTGTAATTAATTAATTGTATTGTTGTTGTACTGTGACATGGATGTGTCAAATGCGTTAATGGCTGGTTACCCAATGCGGACAGAGAGTGGGGTGGAGCTCCCCGATGAAAACAAGCTTGGAAGCAGGAGTGTCATCCACTTCCATAGTAGCTTGCCTCTGGAAACCCTATGAACCTGGAGAAAGGATGAAAGGCACCCAAGCATCAAGGACTCTCCTTCATAGGGTCGCTATAAGTCGCCGGCGACTCAACGGCACTTAACAACAATAATATCAACATAGAGAGAGAGATCAGCTGGCCCAGTGGACAGAAAGTGATGCTACCAAGCCAGAGGTGGGTGACTTTTAATCCGTGGCCCTCGGGCCTGTCTTTCATTGTTTTTGTTCATACATTCCTCTAGGTCGTACAGACCTGGTGTACAAGTTGCTGTACCACGGTCACTTGTGATTTCTGTGAGGCTGAACATTGTGACACTGATGTGTCAAATGCATTAATGGCTGGCTACCCAATGCGGACAGAGAGTGGGGTGGAACTCCCCAATGAAAACAAGCTTGGAAGGAGGAGGGACATCCACTTCCATAATAGCTTGCCTCCGGAAACCCTATGAACCTGGAGAGAGGATGAGAGACACCCAAGCGTCGAGGATTCTCCTTCATAGGGTCACTATGAGTAGCTTGCGACCCATAGTGACCTTATGTACAACAGCCCTAAACCCTGCTCTGTCCAGTGCCAATCTCACTCTCTCAGACAAACCCACCCCAATTACCCCAGTCACTGAATCAATCTACCTTATGGAGAGTTTCCCCCTCCTGTGCTGTCTCTCCACCCTCCCAAGCATGATGTCGCTCTCCAAGGACTGTTCCCTCCTTACAACATGTCCAAAGTATGTCAGATGAAGCCCCAGAATCCTTGCCTCCAAAGAGCAGTCTGGTTTAACCCTCTCTAGGATAAACCTGTTCACTTTCTTAGCAGTCCAATACTCTTCTCCAGCACCACAGCTCAAAGGCATCAATTCTCCTTCTATCCTCCCTAGTCATTGTCCAACTCTCTGATGCATAGTAAGTGATTGCTAAGACCATGGCCTGTATCAGGTGAACCTTAGTCTCCAGAGTGACACCATTGCTCTTCAGTACTTTGGAGAGGTCCCTAATAGCAGACTTTCCTATCGCAATATGTCTTTTAATTTCCTGGCTGCTGGTGCCAAGAGTGTTGACTGTGGAGCCAAGCAAACTAAAACTGTGAACACTCTCAATCTCTTCACCATCCATCCTGATGCTGCCAATTGGTCCAGTGGTGAGAATCTTTGTCTTCTTGGCATTGAGCCTCAATCCATATTGAAGGGTGCAGTCCTTGACCCTCTGCAGCAAGTGCTTCAGGTTCTCCTCAGTTTCAGCAAGCAGGGTTGTATCACGTGCATAATGCAGATTGTTAACAGATCTTCCACCTATCCTGACCCCACATTTCTCCTCACAGAGCCCAGCTTCCAGGATAATCTGTTCTGCATATAGGTTGAAAACTTACGGGAATAGGACACATCCCTGGCATACACCCTTCCCAATTTAATTATATTAATCTTTTAATTAATACATTAAAGTTCCTTAATTAATATGTCCCATTCTTTAAATAATAAAAAGCAAAATGTCCATGAATGATTGGATGAAAAACCAATATGATCTGATATGTAAACTTTAATGAAATAAAAAATTTAATAAAAACAAAACCTAAACTTTTGAAATTTACTTTTTTTCCATTTTAGTCCTTCCTCTATTTCCCATCATTTTTATTACTTTTTTGTTTATTCTTCCATTACTTATTTTTGAAAATCAAGCAAATATACATGCAATCTTGAAATGTTTGCAACTATCACGGTTTACAGGTGACTAATATATGGAAACAAGAGTGGCATCCACTTCTTAAATAACTTGCCTCTGGAAACTCCATGAACTTTGAAAAATGTCGATAGTTGTTGAGGGGCTTCAGGCCTTTTGTTCACAGAGTCGCTATGAGCTGTGCTCAACCTGAAGACAATCAACAACAACATCTTGAGTAGGTACAGGATTCTTACATTGCAGTTCTTTTCTTAGTAATCTATCTTCCATTGTTGTAAAATAAAAGTCTAATAAGAATATTAACAGGATTTATAAGAGGATACACACACACACACACACACAGGATGTATATATAAGAGGATAGATCCAGAAGACCCCCCTGCCCACAAGTCTAACATGAGTAAGATTTATGGAACATAAAAGGGAGAAAACAAAAGCATTAGAGGCTAGGCAATAATTATACAAATAACAGAATAATGGAGCACTGGTGGCTTAGTGGCAAGGAGTTTCGCTACCAGACCAAAGCACATGGTTGGAATCTACCAGCTGTTCATGAGAAAGATGGTAAGTCTCTTCCTGGGTGATTTACTGCCTTGGAGAAGATGCTGGAGGATCAGCTCTGAGTCAATTCTGGCTCTATGGTACATAATAAAAATAAAATAAACATCTGTACAGCTTTCATCATCATCAGATAAAGGCACCTCTCTTTTGAGTAGTAATTCCAATTCCTCTGTTTCTGCCACATCCACTGGACTTTCCCCATGCTTATTGGCTTGAAATGGATTTCCACCATGACGAAGTAATAGTTTCACTATATCTCTGTGCCCACTACTAGCAGAATCATGGAGTGGAGTGTCATCATCTAGTCCTTGTGTGTTAACATCTGCTTCAGCTGCTATGAGTACCTTAGCAACATCATAATATCCAACATTGCAAGCTTCATGCAGAGGCGTCCAACCTGCAAAATCTTTCACATTCACATTTGCCCCTAAACTTATTAACTCTTTGACTTGTTTCACATCTCCTCGAATAGCTGCCATATGTAAAGGAGTTTCACCACGTTCATTTCTCTTATTAATTTTATCTTTTTGTCGAGATGAGGAACTTGGAAGCTTTTTTTGAGTTGGTGTTGTTTGTGATGGATGATTTGGTATAGAATCTGGACTGTTGTCTCTTGCTGTCATCTGCATAAGAAGTGCCATTTGCTTTCGTTCCGAAAGTGGATAACCAAAGAGAATGCTAACTGGGGTGGATTTCTTATTTGAAGCTTCTTTTTTTGCCTTCTTCTTTTCTGGACCTTCTTTCTCCGTGTCTGAATCTCGTTCTTCATTTCTTGATGGACTAATGGTAAAAGGCAGTTTACGTTTCATAGATGATTTCTCCTTCATCTCCTTGACCACATCACCTTGATCAATTTTTGGTGTTTTGCTATAGGATGCAATCTTGTCTTTACTCTTTCTTCCACATGGTTTTTCTACCATATTGCTGTCACTGTCAGAATTTTCACTATGAACTGATTTTGTGAACCCAGATTTGGGCATCTTCCAGCTGTGCTCAGCTAGCTGTTTCTTTTATCAATCTTCTCATCCTGGACCTGGCTCTGGGGAGGGGCCAGCCTGCACACGGTGGGGTCTCTTCTCCGGCACTGGCAAAGACTAGACCCCCTTCCTATACTCTCGCCACGCCCCCTGGTGCTGACGGACTCCAGACACGGATCTTGACAGGAAGACCTCAACCCGGAACTGAGGATCCAGCACTGTCGTTGTCGGTAGCTTCGTCGCCGCTGCAACCGCCACTGCCGCCGCGGGGTCGGGTTTGAAAACATCTCGGAGCGATCTGAAGTTTACTTTTTAAAGGAATAATAACTACTAATGTTCTTGGTTGAGGGTAAAAAAAAGAAAGGAAGTCTTGATAAGATGGATTGATAGAGGGTAACAATAGACTTGTGCAAATTAGAGATCTTGAGGATGGCACTAGCTAAGTCAAACTTCACATGTGTTTGTGGGCTGCTATGAGTGATAATCAACTCTGGCAACTAACATCATGTTCATGCTGCTTGCTAGGTGCTAGACATTGCTTGAAATATTTTACACTGATATTCTGTAGTCGTCACAGCATTTATGGGAACTCATGTAAATGTAATCTCTAGTTCACATACAAGGGAATTGAGGCACAGAAAAGTTTGATTTAGGATTCAAGGTCATATCGCCAATAAGTGATGCATTCCTATATTTTCACTACACATTTAATGTTGCTTTGCTTGGTTTTAAGTTTTACATCAAGTGAAACTGCACTTTATATTTTATAAGATTTTTCCTCCCCCCCCCCCCCAATATTATCGACGTTGCAAGTTATAGGTTAAGTTCCCTCTTTTGGACTGTGGTGTGGTACGCATGCTGCGGGTCTGAGCACAGCCGTTATGGTGACTGTGCAGTAAGACCAGGCGGTGTGTGCTCTGTCATACAGAGGCCAGCGATAACTCAGAATCAACTCAACAGTGCCCACCAGCAACAGCAACACATGAATATGCAGATAAACAACCACTTGTTTATCTGTGAACGCTTGGGTTGTTTTATAACTTTTAACCCTTACATGAAAGTGGAGATAAACTTTTTTTTTTTTT